GCACTTGATCAAATAGACTTGAGGAAGTTTTCATTTCATAAGGCAAAAATTAGGAAGATTCAAAGAGGAGAAATGAGAAAACACAAAAAACACATAGGAAGCTGTGTATGGGGTGCTGAACACATAGTAAAGGTAGAAAAGAAAAGGAAATAAAGTTAAAAGATTATAGGAACAGAATCTACAAATTTGTCTGGGGACAAGAAGAATACGAAGAAAAGAGATGCGGATGACACCAACGTTTCTAATCCAGGGATAACTCAGAAGAAGTATGAAGAAAAGGGAAGTAGTTATGAGTATGGATGGAAGATAATAGTTTGGGTTTATAAAATAATGTTTGGGATACAGGAGAATCTCTCATTTCCCAATCATGTAATAAGCAGATAGAAATGAATGTCTGGAACTCCAGGGACCAGCTAGGAAACTTATTTTGAAGGTTATCTATGTACAAATTATTGCTTTTGTGAGAAGTAGATAGAGATATGGCAGGAGACAGTATAGACAGCCACCTGAAAGAGGATATAGATAAAATGAAAATAAAAGACTTTAGAATGGAGATGGAGACATAGAGGCCAAACGTCAAATGGAGAGGGAATTCCATATTGATGAAAAAAGTGTCAAAGAAGTAACTCACAAAGAACAACTTCCATCCGTGGGATATTTCCAATGGAAGATGCTTCCAATATTTTATTCCTCTAGGAAAACATAGTTGTCTTTTTTCTTCCCCTCACCCAGAAACACAAAAATGGTTACCTGGCCAGAATGCAGATTTAGAATATTTAAGATACATCCAACAAACTACTCTTATTTCTAGCTAGCCAAATAATTGGATAGATCTTTTTAAAGTAAGACATAAATCAATTTATCTACAAAATCATAATAAGCCATTTCAACCAGAGAAGTCTGAATTGGTTTGCTTTTCTCTTAAAATTCTCTAATAGTATTTCAGTTAAGTTACTATTGCAAGTAGTTGGAATGTATTTTCACAGGGAGTCCAGGATCTACTTGTGTAGTAAGAAACCATTAGAGCATACTCAAGAAAACGTGCCTTTAGTTGGCATGGGCCACTAGGAAGGAAGACAGAGAAAAATTTTATTTTAAATATTGCAAACAAATGTCTTGTTGACCTACAAGACGACAATGGATCAGCATTTGATGAGTCTAGTCTAATTTCTCCTGTAAAATTACTGGTGGTTCTTTGAGAGACAGAAGGCAGTAAATTCCTTGCCTCCATCAATACATTTGACCTCAGAGCAAACCCCACAACTGGCTACAGCCACCCACCATCCATCATTGCTCTTGAAACCTGATATTTCAGGGAAGGACAGCTGCACTGGGCAAAAGGCTAAACAGCTTTCTAAGATACATTACCACTAAAGAAAAAAAAAAAAAAGGCACTTATTTTGGTTCAGTATTTTAACTAATTGCTTTTCGAAACATTTCTTCCCCAAACTGAAGCTCTAAATCAAATACCCTAAGAATATATTAATACAATTTAGACTTTAAAGGGAAATGTTCTCTTTGTGCATTCTAGGTAAAATTACTTCTAGCTTTTGCTTTAAGAGCTTTCTAAGATAAACAGCATACTATGGCATGCTGATATGTACAGACTTTAATAAATGTGTTAAGCAGAAAAAGATAGTTCTAGAATCTATAGTAATTATAGCAGTACACGCAGGGTGCCAATAGGATAAATGTATATAGAACATCCATATCCAACTGATCTTAATTTTTAAGTCAGGTGGCGATAACTTTTAACAAATAGCTGAAAACAACAGAACTCTATCATAGGAACTAGTGTTATTGAATATGTTCATCGCATGACTTCTACATTCAAGAATTACCTAAATTTCAAATACAAAATAAGATAAATTTGTATGATCCAACAAGATATTCATTCCATGTATTGTTACTCCCTTCACTTTACAGATGATGAAACCAAGATTCTGAAATGTTTTATCATTTCCCGCAAGAGCCCTCAAATAAGTGGCAGAACTGAGGCATAAATTCAGTTTTTCTTATAGAAAGAATTGAATGTTCTTTTCACTGTAGCATAAAAAGAAAAGAAACTGGTTGAGATTTTGCAATTATTTAGCATTATCTTAATACGTATTATATATACCTGCATGGTTAAATGAGAATTAACAATAATTTCCAATCATTTATAAAATCATTACTAACACAACCCTTTTAGTTAATAAAGGAAATCCATCTTCTTACAGTTGAAAAAAAAAAAAAAGATGTCTTTCTTACTTGTGATCTGATCATTATGGAGGATCATTTTATATATTTGAAAGTACAATTTCTCCAAACCCCAAAGCATTACTGAGAAAGGCTTGTTTTCTAAACACAGTTCCCAAATCTCAATTTAGTTAGCTACTGCTACATTAAAGAACATAGCTCAAGGGATGTTAATTAAAAAAAAAAAAAAGACAATTGAGAATATATAAATTTAATCAATCTCATACAACTGCCAGAGTTAAAGACAGTTAAATCTAGTAAATAAAAGGCCGGGCGCGGTGGCTCAAGCCTGTAATCCCAGCACTTTGGGAGGCCGAGGCGGGTGGATCACGAGGTCAAGAGATCGAGACCATCCTGGTCAAAATGGTGAAACCCCGTCTCTACTAAAAATACAAAAAATTAGCTGGGCATGGTGGCACGTGCCTGTAATTCCAGCTACTCAGGAGGCTGAGGCAGGAGAATTGCCTGAACCCAGGAGACGGAGGTTGCGGTGAGCCGAGATTGCGCCATTGCACTCCAGCCTGGGTAACAAGAGCGAAACTCCGACTCAAAAAAAAAAAAAAAAAAAATCTAGTAAATAGCCACGTGGCAAAGGTCACAATGCTCCTGACATTGTTATCAGAATGTCAAGGAAGAAGCAAACTTAGCCTTTCTGGTCAATGAATTCAAAGAATTAAGAGAAAGCCTTGACTCAGATGGCTGCTTTGGCTCTTATACTTTGCTGTAAATGCTGGAGGAGCCAAAGTGGGGATTTGCCACCTAAAAGCTGCCATTTGCAAAGGAGAGCAAAGCTTGCTTGTCGTAGGTGAAGACGGAAGAACATCTAAGTTGTTCCAGTACTATCTGCCTGCTAGTATACATGACCTATGAGCTTACAGACAGAATGAGCTGTCTTCACTTTCCAAATCATCATCTTTTTCATTTAGTTTACTCGTCTGTGACACATAGGGATTTGATTTGAAGGACAACAGAGGTTTAAAAAGCCATGAAAAAGCTCAGTTTTGCTGTCTCTTTCTTCCCCCCTTTGGTAATTTTGAAAATGTCATCGGCCAACTGAGTAGTATTAATATGGTCCTTTTAATGTAACAGCATCCAACTAAAAATAATGAACAGGAAGATACAGAATTAATTATTTTGTGAGGGAGGAGGAAGACATTGCAGGCATTGTTTTAGTCCATTTTTTCCCTGTGAGTTGCTTCCAGGAGCGTGGCAATACACAAAGGACATAATACTTAGCGTACGTAACGTCTAAATCTTAAAAATATTTTATAAATAAAATGTTAAGAGGAAAAGCCGCAAAGTGTTGATTTCTTGAAAGCAAATGGGTAATTTATTAAAGGGGAAATGAGAGACACAGGTCTTAAATGTAATTTTGTGAACTATGTTTTGTAAGAATTCTATTTAATTCTCCAGTCTAGCGCCATTGTGATGACATTATTGTTTAGGTTACATTAGGTCAGAGACTGCTGTAACATATAAGCGTTTGCTCTTTGACCTTCCTAAGACTTATGACGCAAAGAAAATGCTGAACTTTTACATCTAAGGCTATAATTTCATATAATGAACAACCAGGAAGCATAAGTCATATATTCTTTTAGCTATCTTTCTTAAGGCCTTAATTGTGGAAAGCTGAAATGCATTTTTAGTTCGTTTAAAAAGGGAGAGAATTTGGACACTTTGTGGAAACAAATGGAAGCCAAGCATGATATTTTAATAAGTGTTACCAACTACTAATTAGAAGCAAATGAGATTACCCATATAGAAAATATATCCCAAAGCAACCTATCCTTTGGTAGAAATGTCACTGCGCCATGAAATTACAGAAGCTTAAACAAGTGATGCTTGTTCAAATGAAATTTACTGACAAATCCCTTCTAAGCAATCTTCTTCCACATTATCAGATTTCTTCAGCTGATGTGTTATATAGGAATTCCCAATCTTGCAGTTCACAGAGAGAATAAGTCTTTCCTCTGCTCTTTCTTGGCAAATTGCTGATAATATAAAAAGGAATGTTTTAAAACACTGATTTTGCTTGAGGCAGCAAGTTGCCTTTGTGCCATCACAAGTAAGTAGCTTTCCTAAAAGATTTTTCTAAGAAACTAAACAGTAGAAGGATGAAATAACAACAAAAAAGGCAAATAACTCCATAAGGCAGTTAAGAGATTCAGAATAAATTTGGCTTAAATCACATGTAACTGCTGTCACTTTAAGAAAATAAGAAAATGTAAAGCAGTCTTTGAATACTCTGGGAAAACTGGATAATTATATCTTTATATTTAGCACTTCATATAGCTGGGCATGTAATACAAATCCTGCATATTTTGTGACCACTATGTTGAGTACACTACAACAAACGTAAAGTTCATTTTCGAGATTCCTGGAAACTTTTGGGAATTAAAAAGGTACCATGATTAAAGGTTACCTGCATAGATACTTTAAGTGTAAACCTAAAAGTCTCATGCTCCTAGGATCACAAGTTAGAGAAACCCCCCCCCACACACACACACACATTCAATTCTTATACCACCCACAAATACACAATGAAACTAAAGAAAGGTTGTTTTAAAATAAAGGGTAAACTAAAGGATAGTTTTAAAATACAATCACCTTTGAAATATTGACCTTTCTTGAAATGATACTTTTCATATGTGATTGTGTTAATGAATTCTCATTTGCCCATAGAATCCTTTTAAAAATAGAACTGTCCAATAGTTTGATATATCAGGTTTGGCCTGAAGGAAATCCAATATGCAAATACTTACAGTTGTGCTCTTTTACAAATAGTCACCCTTGTCAGTTTGAAAAACTGAAAATCAACAAAAGAACAGTTTAAGTATACTTGACCTTATTGCCTAATGTCTCTCAAGATTGCCATGGCTGGTCGATTTCAAATCTGTGAAACTGACACTTAAAAATGTATAGCGTCTTCAGACCAGGTCCCTCAAATGCTGACTAAACTGTGGTCGCAGCCTCAGATTCTCCTTCCATACAAACTTGTACAGTGCTTACAAAGCTAGTTTAATCACACCATTAATCTATGCCTACACTTCCCTTAAAGTAATTTTGCTTCATTTATCTTTTAACCCTACATTATGCAAATAACATCCTTATCAGTCCAATAAAGAAAAATTATTAATGTTCCTTCTTGTTTATCTTTGCCATACACTGAGAACTGGAATCACATATGAATTTGCACCAATACCACTTCTCTTTCCTATTTTTCACACTCTATATGAAAAATCATAGTGTCAGAAAAGCCCTAAATACTATTCTTGAAATAGCAGTCTTCAATCATCGTCTATAGCTAGTATCAGAGTATGAGTTAATGCATTAAAAAGAAAAACAAAAAACAAAAACAAAAACTTGGGGAATGCCTACTTGAATTTTCTTTTTTAATGTCTCTCTAGGAAGGGTTTGCATGCCATACCAGGATACCTCCTAGATATAAGAACAGTTATACAGGCCCCTAGTGGCTTAGCAAATAGCAGCAGATGAGGGGATTCCAATTCTTAGTTCTAGACTTTGAGATATTCTGGATTTAAATGAGTGTCAATCTTAAAAGGCAAATCAAATCACAGTGTTTAATACTTTAAGCAGTTTTACATCGATGGTTATCTACCTAATGCACATATATTAAAATAAATTGCTGCATTTCATTACTTGAGTAACTGCACAACTGCTCTGGCACAAGAAGAATCTGTGTTACATAACCTACACAATAAAATGTTTAATTCATCCACCTCTTTACGTGTCATGCAAAAGTAATATATTACTCAACGTTATTAAAATATATTTGAGAGGTACTGTTCCTTTTTGATTCTTATTCCTATTACTGAGGGCCATAAGAACAGATGATTTCTATGTAAAGTACTCAATATTTAAAATAAGATACAGATGAAAATTGAATGCCACTTTTACAGGAGTAAAAATCTAACTATTTCCCAATAACAGCCAGTGATACAACTTACACTGGAGTGCACCTATTGTAAAAGATCTACAATTAATAACACCCATTAATCCCCCATCTCCTTGCTGTCCTTCCTTCACAAAAGAAAATTCCAGGCAGGCACATTTACAGCTTTTAGCAATTTTTAACTGGACACAATCTGACAGCTGAATTCATGAAACTGACCAGCTTGTCAATTTCACACTTTGAAAGTACAATAATAGCTGATAGCATGAGGGTGAATTTAAGAAATCTGCCACAGAATTGCTGGCTCCATTGAAAAGCAAAGTACAGTACATAATTATGGAATGTGGGAGGTAGGCAAAATTTTATTGTCCATTTAGGATGTCTGTTTCAGCAAGTCAGACATGGAGCATTGAAAAATGTGTTATTTTTGCTATACTATCTGTGGCATAACACAGAATATACATTCAAAGTAAGATGCTAAGCCTTTTCCTGTATATTATCATATTACATATACAACTTAATCTTTAAGTTATTATCATCTACGGATCCCTTTAAATTACAATGTTTCAAGTCTTGGTATATCATCCTTGTTTTTACTCAAGTTGAGCGGCTGGTGCGTGCACTTTGAAACAGAGAAAAAATAGTCAAAATGGTCAGGAGTATCTATGGTTGAGCTTACTCCCCACAGATGTACTACAGGATAGTTAGAAAAAAATACACCAAAGGGTAAAGTCCACATTTGTAGCTCAGTAAATCTTACGGAAAATCTGTCTCAAGTTATAAGCAGTTACTAGCCTCTGAGAGGTTCAAAATGCATGAGCTCCACTCTGTTAAGTCCCTGGCACTGTCTTTGGGCATATATATATATATATATATATATATATATATATATATATATATATATATATAAACATATATATGAAACTTTAAGAGAAAATACAGGTTGAACAATCCCTCAGGAATCTTCCCAGATAATTAAGGTGCGAACAGTAGATTAGGCTGCGGGGGATTACTCTGAGAATTTTAGAACACAGAGGAGATATTTGGCAAGTAGCGGACTGGGAGGCGAACTGGAAACAATACAAGTGGATCCTTGATAGTCCTGGTTTTGGAGAATGGAACTACTATCTCGAACACCCAATTAATGAAAGCCAACTTCACACCTGGTGTTCAAGATTCACTAAGCCTAAGACTTAAAAACTGACTTCACCTGTTAGTGATTTTAAATGAAAATCAACGTCCAGAGAAGCAATGCAAGTTTTCTACACACCTATGTAAAAGCTACAATAAATCTATGGGAAAGCAAAGCATATTTGGTTTGTTCGTGGCTTTCTTTTTAAAATTGTTTCCTACAACTTTGACTCTTCATTATAAATTATGCGTTCCCTTCCCTACGGAATGAATGTGTGCGTTAAGCACACCAGATTCCCGCAGCTGAACTGCGAGCTCTGATTCTGCCATGGAACGGTCTCCCAAACAATCCCCCTCCTCTATGGCAGCCGCGAAGACTTTGATTCCTGCTATTTCTCCTTCTCCCCACTAGTTCAGAGGAAAGAAAGAAAAAGAAATCGCCCCCTCACCGTAATGTGCCCTCCTTAAAACAGTAATCCCTGCCTTTAAAAAAGGCGGTGGCAGAATCCCCGGGTAAGGGTGGACTGCCCCACCGCTCCACCATTTCCCCCAGTACTACGCCCACCCTAGGAGGAGAGAGCGGGGGTCGCACACACACACACATACCCGGACACCCCCATTCTCTAGAATCGCCTCTCCGCGGTTCTGAGGCTTCAGGCGAGAAGTGAGCCCTGCAGGGGAGGACCTCTGCCCCGGGAGGTGCAGAGGAGCAAACTGTGCGCTCCGTGCCCGGGCGCGGGGCTCGCGGAAACGGGAGCCTGTCGCTCCGGCCGGGGAGGCGCCGGCAGCCGGAGCCGGGGGCAAGGCGAACCCCGAGCAGCAAGACTGGAGGACACACGGGGCGGCCCGGGTCAGTTCCCGGGACTTACCTGGTCATGTTGGCTCCGGGCAGCCGCCGCCACCGCCTCCCGCGCCGCCACCAGCACTTTCCTCCAGCGCCTTCGCGCCCCGCCACGGCAGCGCAGCCAGCGCCGCCGCCTCCGGGCGGCCAATTTAATCCCGCGGAGCAGCGGCCGCCGCCGCGGAAGCCCCCCTGGTCGCCGCCGCCGCCCAGCCCTCGTGCGGCCAGCCCAGTCCAGAGCGAGGAAGTGGAAGAGAGTCAGCGAGTGAGTCCAAAAACCCGAAATCCAGCATCCGAGGGAGCGCGTCCCCCCGCCCTCCCTCCACCCCTATCCCCTTCTCCTCCTCCTCCTCCGCCTCCTCCTCCTCCTCCTCCTCCTCCTCTTCCCGGGCCGTCCTCTTGGCCCTTCAGAGACCGCGGCTTCCGCGGCGGTTTCTCCTCCTCTCGCTCCTCCTGCTCGCCCTGCGCCCGCTTCTCTCGCCGCCGCCGCCGCCGCCGCCGCTGTTTGTCTCCTCTCCCTCCTCCTCCTCCTCCCGCTCCTCGATGCTCCGCCGCTCGCGGCTGGGGGGTCCGGGGCCGCGTCTCCTCTCCTCCCTCCGCCTCTCTTGTTTCCTCCTTCCTGCTGCCTCTTTTAAAGCGGATTCTTTGGCCACAAATAGCAACTCGCTGCCCCCCTCGGTGCCTCCCTCCCCTTCTTCTCTTCTTCCCCCCAAAAGTGAAGCGCACGCGAGGTAACCAGAAACTGAGGCTCGCGGGGGGAGAGGGGTGCGAGGCGACCCTGAGAAAGGGCCCGAGCCGAGTCAAGGGCCGGGAGGTGGGGTGGCCAGCCCAGCCCAGTGCTTGGACCTGGCGTGAACCTGGTAGTTACGGCGGCAGACGAGGTGGTTTGGTGGGGAAATTAAACGAAAAAGCTCAGGAAAGTAATTGGAAAGGCTTCTCTCTTTGTTTCCTTGTCTGGGTGATTTCTAAAATCCTCGTAACGTGCTGGGGATCCCACGGCATCGCTGTGCTCCAGCGCTGGGGGATTGTGTGTGTGCGTTGCCTGCGCGTGAGTGTGAGTGTGGGTGCGCCCGGATGCGGGGAGAGCCGGGCCTGCTGCGCCCGCTGGCGACTCCCTGAATCTGGACCACTGACCCACTGAAAAGACCAAAGAGCTGGATGAAGGAGGGGCAGGCAGGAGAGGTGGTAGGAGGCACCACACACCCACCCACACACACACCCACACACACACACACACCAGAGGAGGGGGCAGGGTGACGTCACTCCCCAGCATCCATCCACCAGGCCAGAAAAGACCCTCTTCAACCGATTCACTTATCTCCTAAGAGATGCACACCCGGGCGCTTCCTGCTCTGCGTCCCAGCGCAAAGAAGGAAAAAATGCTGGTCGCGCCCTATTCACAGCAGTGATAATAATATAGGGAGCGTGCTTTGATGAGACACAGTTTGTGTCCGCCCCAGTTCACCTTGGCAGCCTCCTTCGAGGATGCTTGTAGGATCTACTTTGAAGGCAAAGAGGAAGACAGGGAAGTATTGTATCAAAATCCTAGTGTAATAACTTGTTTTGCTTTCATGAGACTTGCTTTTATGATGTTGGAAATGCAGTGCTCCTCAGCTTCTCTGAAGGACACTATAACACCCACTCCCTAGACTAGCACCCAGTTGTTGGGCTGTGCACTCTTCATCCACAGAACCCAGGGTGACTAAGGTGTACTGTGTATGTTAGCTACGGGATGGATTTTAACCTTCTTTACTACTCATAGGGTCTCCAGCATGTGGAAGAAGTCAGCAGCTGGAAGCCATCATTGGCAGTTGGCCCATCAAAATTTATTAGAAACTTGTTCAGAAAGGTTAAATAAAGTAAAGCTAGGGCTCACCAGACACCTCCATTGCTCATTCCGTGTTCAGACCAGCATACACACGCGATACTTATTCCTGCAGATTCCAGGCTTTCTTTGAAAGAGCAAAGGTAAGCACGCCCCCCTTAGATTTGACTTAATGATCCAGCATCCTGACTGTTGTCTCACGCTGCCCATTTATTTCCACCATCTGCATGCTGCGCTCCTGAAAGCCACGCGGGGATTGGTCAGTAATCCTCTGCCCCCTATGTGCTCCAAAAAGAAGTCACACATTTTTGAAAGGAATCTTTCTAAACGAAGTTCAGTTTTCCAGCAATTTGAGGGAGGGGGAGGACCAACCTGGCATGAGTCTCGCTTGGCTTTTTGTTTTTTTGTTTTTTATGGTTAGTGTCACAGTGAAAATCAGGAAGAAATCAATTCCTGTGTAAGCCTCCAAGCTAGGTTTGCCCGCCAATCATTCTGATTTCACAGGAGCTGAAAAGCTGTGCAATGATGATGGACACCTGTCCCTTGTGCTCTAAAGATGGAGCCAGAAAGTTGAGCCTCTCCACAGGTGCTTCCACCCAAGATGTAAACTCCTACTTAGCTTTCTCATTGCCACCTGCTCCCCCAGAAACTGGTGATCCCACTTTCCTTATTCAAACTTGCAGGTTAGAGAAACAGAAAGTTTTGAAAACCATAATATTCCTTTGCTGTTACCTTTGGGGGAAAGAAAAGTATCCCTCTGCCTGCAGATCTGACCTCATTTAAGACCCAGCTGGTCAGTCTGACTGCTATCGGGGAACATAGTTGAGGAAATATCATCTTTCACCACTGGTAGCAATTTAAACTAGCTAGAAAACTTAGCAATGATTGTTACCAAGGAGAGCCAACAAGCAAATAGAAAAGGGACCCAGAAATCAGAGGATACAGAGGACAGTACAAGTAAATGGCACAAGCCCAACTTTTCTGACACCATAAAGTCCTAGATGTTGTTATCTCTTTACAACCAAACATCTTAGAGAAAGAAGTAGGGATGGGTTGAGGTGACTGGAGAATCTAAGTTATTATTATACAAATGAGACTGAATTATTCAGGGTGATGCTGCTGCAGAACAGGAGATACAGCCCATAGAGAAGCCAAAGTTTCTCTGCACATCAGGGTAGTCATTGGAACAGCCTGCTACACACGCGTTATATATTCAGAGCAGATTTGCCACAAAAGAGCGTCCTCATGCTGCAGCCAGTAGCAAACTTCTAAACTGGTTTACCATGTGGGAATTTTAGATCAAAAAAATTCAGAAGCAGGATAATCTTTTGTTGAAATTACCTCATTTTTACAGGTAAAGAAATGAAGACCCTGAGAATTTAAAAATCATCCAACTATTTGGTGGCAGAAGCAGGACAAGAACTCAGATATCAGGATCCAGTGCCCTCTATCCCACTATTCATCACCTCCAAGTTCTGGATCAAAGAAGCCAGTTTTCCAGCTTATCAATGAGCAATACATACAGAATATTTAAAAATTCTACGTGCTTAGATGAAGGAAAAATGAAGCAATAGGACAAGACATTTTCTTAGTTCCCTTCTAACTCTAACATTCTGTGATAAATAGCACATAGGAGCTTTGCTATAGCACAACCCCCTCTAGTGCATAATTCAGCATACGATGAGTATGAGTCTGTTTTGGACCCCATCCAAAGGAGTTAGTTCCTAGAAGTACTTGGAAGATTTATTCTCATTTATCATGAGGCATCCTAACAGGAGACTAAAAATAATCATGATGACAATAATAGTAATCAGTTGTTACACTTGAATTATGTACTAAGCATCCTGCTAAGCATGTTGTCATAGTTCACCCATTTTTGAAAAGACACATCATGACCTCATGTGGGTTGTAAATCTAGTGGGTCATGAACAATTTCTGAAATGAAAGAAAAGTAGGAAAGAACACAGAGTACATCATATGTACTAAGTATTGTTTTGCAAAACTTCCTTTCTGATCATGTGGCTAGTGATTAAAAGTTTGAAAGCCACTGCCTTGCTGGTTAAGTATTACCCTCATTATATAAGTGAGGAAACAGAATGAGAGAGGAAAATTTGCCCAAGCTGACACAGTGAGTGGCCAAGCTAGCATTTTGAACCTACATCAGTTTGACTTCAAATCCAATATTTTCACTTCTATCATGATGATAAATTATTAACCAAGGTATGGAATAAATTGTTGCAAATCATATTTCCTTTGTGAGGACTACAGTGGTTTTTATAAAATCCAGCTAAATGGAGAAACAGCATAGATTCAAGTGACATGTTCTGAAAATAGTGAGGAATTTCATAAAACACTAATACCCTGAGACCTTTCCCTATAGGTATTAGGTTATGTCTAATATACTTTATTAATTTGATCTACATACATAAGTGAAACAATAATTTTTCATCTTCAAATAACCTAAATATTCACTTCTACAAGTGTTACTTTTGAGAGAGTGTTTTTCAAAGTTAAGGTATACAGCATTTCTCAGTAGCTTCCTTTGGCCGAACAGAACTAGCACATAAGAAAGATAAAAGCTAGGTGCCGTGGCTCACACCTGTAATTCCAGCACTTTGGAAGGCCAAGAAAGGTGGATCACCTGAGGTCAGGTGTTCGAGACCAGCCTGGCCAACATAGTGAAACCCCATCTCTACTAAAAATACAAAAATTATCCAGGCATGGTGGCACATGCCTGTAATCCCAGCTATTTGGGAGGCTGAGGCAGGAGAATGGCTTGAAGCCAGGAGGTGGAGGTTGCAGTGAGTGGAGATGGTGCCACTCCATTTTGCTGCCCTCTAGCCTGGGCAATAGAGCCAGACTCCATCTCGAAAATAAAGAAATAAATAATAAAGTAGCCAGACCACCATTAAATTCAACTTCAGTTGTGAAGAAGAAAAGAAGACAATAATTGAGGTGCCCTGCTAAATTTTTTGGCCCATGTAGTTCTATGGATTCAACCAGTAACATTGCGTGCTTAGGTGTCGTTACTCCCATTCTGCAGATTTGAAAGCTCAAGCTCAGATCTAGGAGATGATTGAAATGAGTATCTCATCCTGTTCTGATTCCACTACCCCAAATTTCTTTATAAACAGTTGGGCTTCCAGTATACCAGGGGATGTTTAGAGATTTTGAGACATGCTGTGCAATCATTTATGCTTTCTTTTTCCATGTGAAAGAAATGTGCTTTTTTTCTTCAGGGCAGCATCTCTTGTTGCTGTTAGGCAGCACCGTCCTCTTTAAGAAAAGAAATCCACATCTTTCACTAAAGAAAGGCCTAGAAAAGCCAGACTTTCTCCGCTGACTGCTCAGCTCGACTGCCGCATTTCACCCTCACCTGCAGTGTGTAGAGGACGTTATGGTACGATGCTATTTTCTATTGGCTCTGCTACTGGAGATTACAGCATGCGACTGTGACAAATGGATATTCCCATTAAATTCTTTAGTAGAGTGGGGCATTCCATTAACCATTGGCACTATCCCAACCCAAGTGAAACACTGGGTCATTTTTTTCTTATGAGCAAGAAGTGAAGGGAGAAAACAAAGGATATACTCTAATTACCTTTCCTATTTTTTTTGTTGCATGCATTATGATAGCCATATATTACAATTATTTATAATTAATATATGACAAGCTGTCAGCTAAAATTTAACAGGTGATTTGTCAAGAAGCCCCATTAATGCATACATAAAGCAGTGGATTCCAGTGTTTCCTAACAAAAAACTGTGTATTGGTTTTGATATTTCATTCTATTTAGTAAAAACATTTAGAGGCCATTTATCTTTACATTTTGCAGCATCTTTTAAAAATAAAACTATTGCTAACTAAATGGGTACATTGTTAGTTATATCAGGTTTAAACACATTTCTCTCACTTTAACCTCTACATTTGTTTCAGTGAGGAAACAAATCGCCTAGTATTTATTTTAAAGTTTTAACCTTTATGGTTTTTAATACATTTTTTTTAAATTATATTTTCAGTAGGAAAGGCAAACTGACTGGGGAAGAAAGTAACTGCAGTTACTTCTGTTCCACTTAGTGTTTGTATCTTAGTAAGGAAATTCTGAAATGGAATATTTTAACATACAGAAAAAGACTAAGAAGTCACCAGAAAGCTAGTAATTAATCACTGAATAAAGGAACACTCTACAGAGACCAAAAACTGATGAAGCAGGCCTCATTTTGCTGACTGGCACAAGAATGGGGAACACAATGGAAATGAATCACAGATCCTACTTAAGAGGGGTAACAGGATTCTTTGAAAGAAGGAAAACTGTTTTTATATCTATAGGACATCAAATCATGGGACATAACCTGTAAAGGAAGTTAAATTTTAAACTTCAATATTATTATTGTTTCCATGGTCGACCAAAATTTGTACTGTTTAAGAGAAAGATACAAAAGTCATGCAGCATTTGTTTAAAATTTCATTTGCACAAGCCTGACTCTCATCTCTCACGCCTCGGACACGCTTCAGGCTGTTAATGACTCCCAGTCCACTACTGTAGAGGGTGCTGAATCTCCTTAATGAAAGAATGCGCTTTAAGATTCAATGGTTAGGAAGAGAGAAATAAACGAGAGTAAAACAGGAAGCACAGCAGCTTTTCAAAGCTAGTAAGACTTCTGCGTCCACCAACCAACTTTAGCTTTCACATTTTTAGCAAGAAAGCACTAACACAGAACCATGAAATTATTTTTAAAGGTTCTTGCTAACAGTGTTGCAGAAGATGATTTCGAAAAACTCACTCAGAAGCAAAATACCGCAGCTTGATTTACATGTTGCAGGGAGTGTATTCCTATGCAGTTCAGGGGGTTATAAATGACCAGCGGCAAACTGGTCATTGTATCCTGGGCCAGGATCATCTCCAGTCACTTTGTTGCCCACATGTAGCCGTGTCTCCATGGATAACTGGGGATGTTTTCTTGTGCATTCAGTAACAGTTTTCAAAACAGTGAGTACAGCAAGGCATCAAGAGTACTATTTTTTAGCCACTTTTCTAACATTTTCTCTGTCTTGTGCTTCCGTGCTTGTCTTACAGTTCAGTTGTACCACTTAATTTCTACTTGGTGTACATACTCAGTGTAATGTTTTCATAGTTGTTTGAGAGGAGAATTCATGTCTGATGGCAAGCCAGAGCTCCTATCAGAGAGCTTTAAGCATGATAGGCACTTCATAAATATCTCAGTAAGTAAAGGAAGGAAAGGATAAAATAGGAAGAGGGAAAGAGGACATGCACTGGTTGTCATTTGCACATTTTACATGATACATCACTGTCTTTAGAAAGCCTCCTCCATAGTCCACTAAATACAATGAATTTGCCCTGAATTTGCCCTGCTGGGCTCTCATTCTTTTCTTTTTCTTCGTATTTCCTATCTCTCTGTATTTTTATTGTATACGATTGCACCCCGTTCAGTTGTGAGCGTCTTCACATTCTTCTCATCACCACCAAGCCCAGAACCTGCACTGTGAGCAGCTCTCAAAAAATGTCTGCTGCAGTATATGATAGCATGTGCTTAGATACCACTGTGGCCTGGTTAGATATTACATTAATACTGCCTCTTATTGAGACTGTGCTGAGAGATACAATGACCTAGAGTTTGGTCAGAGTTAGGCCTCACTAATCACAGCATACACCAGAATGTCCCATGCAAAGAACAAAATAGAATCTAACAGGAGTGGATGGATTCATAGTTCCACAGAACTTTTGATGAGAAGGATTACAAAGTTTCATGCTTTCCTACAAGAAGTCAAAATAATTTGATCAGTTCAGTGGATAAAAAAAATCCCTTATACTTCTAACTGGTACTGAAGTTTTCATTTTTAACTTGGTATATTCTTAGATGAACAGAGCATTCATTTACCTGTAAACATTATTTCCTATAGGAACATACATCACTGCAAGTCATCCTGATTTTTAAAACTCATTGGCCACATCCACAAAATTACTAGTAACACTGAACAAGTCTTGCAGAGATTTAAAAGGCAAACCAAAACTATTCTTTCCTAAATGTATGATTACTTTACTTTACATAGCCTATTCATGTTAGTGCTTGTTTTATCAATGTAGAAGCACCATTCTTGCATAGTTATTTATTTCTGTTCAGTTCTTTAAAATCATATTTTCTTTCCTTTTCTTACCACCAAAAGCCCATCTTTCCAACACAAATATTTCTACTGTTCTCTGGACTAATACAATAATAATATTTTGTGTATTCTTCTGCTCCCAGTCTTTTCCTGATTGGCCCCAGTCTATGCCTCAAAGTGCTGCCTCATTAACTTTAATAAAACACTAGTTGATGATGTAATTCCCATGATTAAAAAAAAATCAGTGGTTTATGATTAAGTACACACTTCCTAACTAAGTGCAAATGTTCTACCAGCATTCAAGATCGACCACAAAGGGAATGCTACCTGAGCCCATTTTTCCGTTCTCATCTTTACCTCTTTTCTACCAGCATCCTTAACTCCAGCATTCTCTGCATAAAACCATCCATATTTCTTAGAAGTTTTCTTATGATCACCTACATGTTGAATACTAATCTATCCCTTAAGAGTCATCTCATCAAGTAGTTTTTTTTTTTCCCTGATTCCTCTGCCAGTTTTGAATACTACTTCCTTCAGAATATCTGATTTTTTGAATCTCTCTTGCTCTGAATATTCTACTGAAATTGGATAAAAGATAATGGAAAGCACTAACTTCCAAGATATATTTAATGACTAGTTTATTGGTACTGATCCATTCATTGGAATGGCAACATGTTATAAGCAGGGAGTAGATGGAGTTAGTGGGAATTTATGCAAACTTATGTTTAATCACATATTGAAAGGCCTCTTTGTTTAGTCATGTCTTGCAAGTTCTTGTGTCAGGTAATTGTGTTTGGGAAGGGAACAAATTCCAAAGATTCTGAGTTAAGACCAATATGAAGAGCAACAGATGATGGAAACTTTCAACAACGTCTCTCCTTCCCTCCCTCCCTTCTTCTTTTTCTTTCTTCTTCCTTGCTTCCTTCTCTCCTTTTCTCCTTCTCCCTTTCTTTTTTTCTCTCAGCTTCGCTCCTTATCATTGCAAGGAGAGGAAATGACCTGGGACTGTTAAGTCTTTGTCCTGGAGAAGCAAATCAAGTGCTTCTTGATTTGCTTACAAAAGCAAATCAAGTGAGGCAGATGTTCTGCTCTGCCCTCCCCCTTGGCAAAGACCAGCAGTCTAGAAGCTGTCTTGAAAAGAATACTTGGCACTCATGCTTTTTACTCGTCCTCCCTCAGAGAGACCTCCTGCTTGGTGAGTCCCAGGCTCTAAGAATTATCCTACCTTGGCCGGGCGCGGTGGCTCACGCCTGTAATCCCAGCACTTTGGGAGGCTGAGGCGGGTGGATCACGAGGTCAAGAGATCGAGACCATCCTGGTCAACA